TCCAGACCAATTGCAACCACGGCGGTAACTTTGAAGAACTGCCATGATATTTTAGTACATGCAAATTTTTTAGTGTATTTTTCATACAAGCAAGAGTAACAAACAAGTTCACAGACTTAAGCTACCACGGCTCTTCTGTGTCCCTATAATCACCCTCAAATGTCCTCGATTAGGTATCAAAAGAATACCAGAAAAGATCACAGATAGATAGATTCGATTTTCTCTACGAAATTTACTGGTATTTTATACTGGAAATGAGATTGTGAGCGCATGGTCGTTTTCCTGGTGAAGCCAACCCATTGTTGTAAAGGCTACATACATACATATATGTATACATACATACATATATACATACATACATACACATATACACGCGAAAAACATTACACTCCTATTGGGGCAGTCAGCTGAAACAGAAACACTCGTACCAATTTAACCGCGGCCGATCTGATATTACACTTTGCAGTTACATCGAAGATGCTAGGATGCGATACCGCCAAGTTACTGGAACATAAACAACAATTATCTCGAAATCCAAAATTGTTTTACAAGAAATTTTAACTCAAGATTAGACCCGAAAACAGCCACGAAGTGATATAATATGCACGACTAGTAAATTAAGAATCAACCATTTATGGTGAAATCTCAAAAAGGCACTCGGATTCTAAAGACTTCTAACTAAGCCTTAACCAAAGACCTCAAAGAGAATCACGTTTCATCAAAAGTAGCTCTATGTACGCATGTATGAATCAGTTTTTTTATTTTGTTTAAACAATATAGGATATAAAAATAAGTAAGTAAACTTTTAAACACACTTCTAAAAAAATTCCTCCTTCTCCAAACTACCACATTGAGGCACGATGTCCTGCACTAAATTATTGAATGTGTAAAAAGATGAAAAGAGATTGAATCATTAATGCTTAAGTATCACAACTTAACAATCTGTTCATCAAAGCTAATTTTTAATATTATGGTAAACTAACATTTCGTGGGTAAAAGCCTCAAAATACTTAAAAGAAAAAGTAAAACGCACAACAATAAATTCCTTGTTCTGTAGTCTGTACATTCCGTCACTGATTCAGTCATCTGCGAAACGTGGTTATACCAAACCAATAGCATTTCTGTTATCCATTGATGATATTGAATATTCGAAACGTAATTACAACACCAAATAAACGGGTCTATGAAAGCACTGGAAACTATTTCGCCCCGGTAAAGCTGACGACCATTGGCCTGCGATATTAAACAGCAAATTTTGAATTGTTGTTTCATTATTAGTTTCCAGAATTGAGAATGCAAAACAGTTAATAAGGTCTGGCAATTGTAAGGGTTACGAGTAATCTGCTTAGCGAGAAATATATCGTAGTAGAGTCTTACGACATCCATGGATGATGAATGATGACTTACGCCATCTCTACATGGGGTAATGTTGTCGGAAAAAAGTAGGTAAAATTAAGGTGACATCATTAATTTTATACCGACTGAATATGTCTCAAAATTAAAAAGTGTATGTTACAAAAATTGGAAAAGCTATTTTGAAGAGAAATCTATAACGAAAGGCATCTGGTATAGAACTATACAAAGCGAGCCTTATCGCTTACCTTGGTTTAGTGATTGTGATCTCAACAGAAATTTGGTTAGTTAGCTTCAAGGCTTCGTTCTGGTCATACTCCATCAGCAAAGTTCGCTTTTTAATGGAAAAAAAACCTTCACCAAATTGTGATGTATGCAACAAAATTGAAGATGTTTACCATTTGTTGATGGAGTGTGTCAAGAACAAACCCCAAATCAAAGATGTCAAGAGGGTTATTCCGGCTTGCTTCTAGGACGGAATAATTATCTTCTCTATCTAGTATAAGTTTCTTTTTAGGTTAATAATTTAACTAGTACTCTCAATTATACATTTTTATTTTGTTATAGTGTTAGCAGTAATTAGTATAAGGTATGATGGGATTGGCATGTCATTTTGACAAAAATCCAAAAAAATTAAAGAAAAAAATTTACGTGCAAACTTCTCGGGAAGAAATAATAACAATAATAATAATAATAATAATCATTTAAAGGCCCGTAAAAAAAAACATAATTACTTATAATCAACAAACATAAAAAAATTGAAATAAAATAAAATAGTAATGTAATACAAAAATTGAACAAGATTTTATTAATTCGTTGCTAAATAACGTGTTAATATTCGCATTATAGTCTCCTAAGGCAATAGCTACATTTACGAAATGATTTTCTAATAAACTTTTGATTATACATAAAATATTTGTGAATTCAGGTAAATTTTCAAGATTGTTTTGAGGCATATAAACAGAAAAATACATATGACAATTCCCATTAATATACGATTTTATAGCACAAATTCGTGAATCATTACAATTTACTAAGTCAACATTATTAATTAACGCAGTTCTCCACAAGAGGGCCACACCTCCATATGGTCTCCCTTTTAATATTCCGGATGAAGAATCGACCGCAGAGGTACCATGTGAAGAGAACTCGGTATGAATTGTTGACAAAAAAAGATAGCTCATGGGGAAGCATCCAGGTCTCTTGAAGAGCCACCACATCAAACTCTTTACACAGTTCTCTAACATTATCAACACTTCTCTTAATTGACTGACAATTAAAACTAACGAACTTCATTTCTTACGGAATTACTTTGCCAGAAATGTCTAAACACTATGCCTACAGGCCAGAAGTCCTCATTCATAAAAATATGTTTTCTATCCAAATTAATCCTTACCTTAAAAGAAACCTAAAAAGCATGCTCGTATCTTAATTTTTTATTTCATCGCTCTCTATTACTGGATTGTAACTTTTTCGTTGGCAACACAATGGAATCCATAACTACAGGCGCAGCATTTACCTCACTGCATCTGGGGAACATGTGGGGACACCTGAGTTCGGTCCAACCGGTGAGGACTTCATACAGCATTGTATCTAGAGCACGCTCCGTCGCCAACTCCCCATTCAGCATTGGCAACGCCAGCCCATTAATCCTTGCCATTGTCCCATAAGGTGCGTTAAGTTTGGACGTCGCGATCAAATTCTTGCAATACAAAAACCAGATGCAGTCCAGTTCGGTATAATTTTCAGTTTTGTTATTGGCAACACTGTCCGAACTGTCGTTTTTATTGTATGAAGTTTGCAAATGGTTTAGAGCGTGAGTGTGCCATCTATATTGCGCGACAGTTGGTTTTGAATGTTCGTGTTGAGGTTATCACGGTTGGATAGCTGGCTGAGGAGAAGTTTAGTGTTCTTGTACGCCCTGTCGAGGTGTATAGCAGCCCGTGCGGTGCTCATGCCGATTTCTAGAACGTTCTCCAGAAGATTCTTCCCGAAGTCGAATTCCTCGGCCGTTTCTGGTCGGCTTTGGCGTTTCGCAGCAACGCTCTCGTGATGATAAACTTCATTCCTCTTCGCCTCAACTTTGCCGGGCTCCAGGAACAGCGCGTTGAAAGCAAATACTTCTGGATCTTTTAGCATTTTCACCCTCGCAGCTTCCTGATTTTCCCACGCCATCAGCTATATGTTATGCAGGAGCATCACATCCAGGGTCAGGATCCCGAAAGGCAGTAGATCGGTGCTGTTGCTCCGGATGATCTTCCTCGTGTGGTTTACAAGGGTGTAGTTCTCGCCGAAATACAACTCCTTGAGTTTTTCCATGATTACGGACACGTTTCCCTGCACCTGACTCTCGTTGAGGGCTTTCAGTACTTGTCTAAACTCGTTGGTCGAGTTCCGTTCCCTGGTTACATTCTTAAAATCCGGGTCAGAGGTAATCGAGTCGTGGAGTTCTTGGATCTTCTCTATTAAATAGCTGGTCATCGTATTGCTTTGCATATAGTCGTCATAAAGTGCATCGTCGTTGTAGTATTCGTCGTAGATATCATCGTATCTCCTGACTCCAGCTACGTACCCCTCGATCGGGAGACCGTGTCCAGGATATAGATCGGGAAGAGTCGGTTTGAAGTTTGGATACTGCTCGGCTTCCAGTCTGGGATATATCGCTTGATGTTTCTTCTCTATTCTCCTTTCTTGGTGGTAGAGAGTGGATTCGTGACTTTTTGTTCTTCTCTCTGCGGCCGACTATGTTTTTAAATATAGATAGCTTTTCCAGGATAGGATTTTGGATTTCGTTTTCTGTTTCCATCGATGTTGTGGATGGTGTTTCTTCTATGGTTGGTTTTGACGAGGGCTTGGTTGGCTACGGTTGTGGACGAGGGTTGTAGTAGATCGGTTCCGGTGCCTCGAAGAGCTCCCGCGTCGGGTATCTCTCCGTGGCTCCCCACTTGGTAATCACCACCAAACTGCAAAGCGGGACGCGCTCGCGATTATCCAAACCTTCAGAGGTACGGTAGTTTTCGTTGGCATCCTCTCGTATACGATAGGCCGAGGAGGGAGGGGCCTACGCGCTCGGTCCACGTTGGTCCGGGCAAGGCTCGACCCAGCCGTCGAGTACACCCACCAGTCCGGGGTCATTGTGGCTCTACTGTCGCACGAATTAGCTGAAGCCGGCCGCTTTTCGTATTCGTATTGGAACATATTTTATCCGCCAAGATTTCTTTCTAACGAGAACAAAAACAATTCAATATAGAAAGTCACTACTATGACAAATCTATAATCAATTTACTGAATATAAACATAAATAGAACGAACTAAAAATATTTAAAAAAAAGTTCCCGGTCCGCGTTTTTTTGTTTTTTTTTTCATGCGAAAAATGGTTTTTTGGCATCAAGCGTAGTACGTCCACAACTGTTACCGGTTTTTGTCCGACTCCGGAGTCGGTATCGGAGTGTCATCCCATGTGAGATGTTGTGAGCCAGTCTTAGCTTAAACGTCTTATTTGTTTTCATAGCTTATCATTTTTATTTGTTTATAAATTCTCAAATATATTTATTTATTTATTATGTAAAAAAATCTATATTATTTGTTTGAATTGCAGCACCAAAGGAGTGAATGGATGCATCACAGTAAACGGCCATGCTCGAGATATGCGAGTCTTCAAGAAGCTGACCAGCTACATCATGCAAGACGATTTGCTTCAGCCGCGGCTGAGTATATCCGAGTCTATGAGCATCGCAGCGGACCTCAAGTTAGGAAAAGAGTTGGGAAAGGCAGAGAAGGAACTTATTGTAAGTAATAACATAAGATACGGTTTGTTTCATTATTTTATAACCTCGTTAATATTTTCTTACATAATAACGATGTAAACTATCTCTTCATTTCATTTTAAGAATGTGGCAAAACGTAATGGTAATGGACATCAATCTGGAGACATGGGATCTTTTTGCTATCCCCCAGTCACTTTATATGGTACCCATGTCACCCATACCATATTTCTTGCGGTAAAACAAGCATCTGTTCACCGTTTGACCGTGTAGTCGTAGTGTAAGTATATCCACTACCCCCATGTCGTCCCGTGGGCGTCGTTATACAGAGGGAAACTAACCAGGAGATGGGCAGCAGTGTCTTCCTAATTACAAGATTTAAAAAAATATAACTCCGTTTACGAACCCGCCCGCCAAGCTTGGCAACTATGGAAAATATGAGGCATTCTATGGGGGAGGCCTATGTTCAGTGGTTGTTTTTGACAGGCTGTACTGTATAGTGTAACGGTCGAAAGCAACTTAGGTGGAACTTTTGAAACAGCAATCAGCAATTCAAACCAAGCGTTGTGTTTACAGGAATCTTCTCAACAACGTTGAGTTTACTGGTTGATAAAAATTTCAATCCATTTATAATACACTAACATTGTAGCCATTAGTTTACCACTACAGTGTCATGTCTAATGCAGTCCCAACCTTTGACTCATTCCCTTGTTGACATTTACGTTCTACAAACATAATGGATACACTGAGCTAAGCACTCAACTTAGTACGGATTAAACTGTAGAAATCAGATTTAGAAATCTAATGAAACAAAAGAAAAGTATTGACATAAAGTAATTAATCATCATCATCATCATCAACATTACAGCTATTTAAAGTTCACTGTTAAACATAGGCCTACCATTACATTGCCTCATAAGGGGAATATGCGATGTTGCCACTATTAGCAGGCGGGTTGACTACCGCAGTTTTAGGATTACGTACCCGAAGGGTAACCAACGGGACCCTATTACTAAGCCTCCGCTATCCGTCCGTCCGTCTGTATGTCCATCTGTCTGTCTGCGGGCTGTACCTCATGATCCGTTATAGTAGACATTTGAAAATTTCACAGAATGTGTATTTCTGTTGCCGCTATAACAACAAATAAAAAACTGGCCATGTACGATGGTACGAAATCCTTCATGCGTGATTCCGACTCGCACTTTGCTGTTTTTTTTATTTGTAGTGTTTAGAAGGGTTACGCTACTGCTCGTCTCCTGGTTTGTTTAACTGTGTAGTGACGGTGTAAGAATATCCGCTACCCCTTATCATCCCTTGTGAGTCGCAGGTGGCGACAGAGGGAAACAAAGTAATTAATAATAAAAATAAACAATAGAGACAATATTTTCACGTGGTAGAGCCATGCTGTAGCTATATTGTGGTTGCAGCACGAATGGGTCTGCTCGGCCGTGGTAAATAGCAGCTCAATGCTGCTGTGTTTCGTATGGTGAGTGTAGAGAACCGGAGACCCTTTTTACTGGAAACGAGGCATTCCATCTATGTCCTCAGGGGTGGCGGCGCATCTTCATCTGCTGTCCTTAGGAGTGACAACGTATCTGCATTTCAATCTTAATCGAAGATAGATGTAAATGTCTATTGGCCACAGCATCCACTTACTATCAGGTAGACTGTGTGCTCGATTGTCATACTTACTTTATAAAAAAAATTGTTTAAGTGTATGACAGAATTTACTTAAATATTAAGAGCCTGCTTTGAAATTTCAAAGTTTTTTCAACGACAATTTAAAAATTGGACATGCAAGCAAGAGAGCAATACCAACCAGGCACTGCCAGTTTTCCTGTCAGATAAATTTATATTGAAATGTGGAATGCGGAATACATGTTGTGGTTCCGAAGCACATTCAACGAGATATATTCTCTAGAACGCTTGAAGGTATAATATTAAAAATATTTTGTCGGCATTTCTGAATTTAATTTCAAAGCGATGCATTGTGAGACGTAAATGTCAAAAATATTTGGTTTTAGCCACTGATAGCAAATAAAACATTGAAGTACATAACACCACTCAATCGCTGATTATTGAATGCCTTAAGCGCAAAGTGCGTAGGTATGTTCTATTAGCGCCTAAAAATCAAGATTCCAACGTTTTGTCGTATAAAATCGTATCTAACAATCATATTGAATATGTAAATGTTATAAAAAGTGCATTGTCAGAAAGATAAATGATTGCTGAAGTTATTAATATTTTTTTTAATTGATTAATTGCTATTTTTACATAAAAACTGGTTTTTAGTGGCTTATGATGTAGATTTATCAAGTCCGCATGGAGTGGTAAACACGATAACTTTTGAAAATATCAATGGTTTAACTCAATCTATTTTTTAATCTCTTCATCTATCATGTGGGAAGCCATGGAATGTAAATGGCAGTTCAATATTGTTTTGTTTGGTTAAAATTAATTTTTTTCGGCTGCGAAATGTCGAAATTTTCGTATTTTGGCCTTGTGTTAATTTATTTTACTAAATAGAATGCCTCACTCACTCACTTCTGCGTCAAAGACAAATGCCGTCGTGAGTGGGTACTGTATCGGTAGTTTACAGCTGCTCAAAAAGATAGCTGTACAAATACAAAATATCGAAAAACAAAATTTCATACATGCTTGATTATTATAATAATCAGAGATTTTTATTACAATATTTTAAAAGCACAGAATAAAAAATAGTAGTACGTACTATAAGTAAGTAGGACGTATATATTTATGACCTGAGTGATGATATGTTGCTTCCATGTTTTATTTGTGTTTCATTCAGCATTGCTTTATTTTCTAGATTTTTAACATATTTTGTATTCTGTAATATAAATAAATGAATATCTAATAAAAAACATATGCTCAAAATATTTAAAACTCCTTAGACAGGAAGGTTTCTTTGAGATGTATCGTTTATGCACGTGTATAGATGTATTTTTATTAAATGTGACAAACGGGCAAACTGTAAACCTGATGGTAAGTTAATGCTGTGGCTTCATAGTCTTCTACATTCATCAGCGATTAAAAATCAGAATGCAGATGCAGATATATAATCACTCTTGACGAGTAAGCCAGAATGCCTCATTGCCAGTAAAAATTGTCACCGATTCTAGTTCCTTAGTATACGAAACACAGCAGCACTCTGCTACTGTTAGGATCAGGTACTCTGTGCGAGCGTGGTCCTTGCCCAGTCGAGCCGACTCATTCGTGCTGCAGCTATAATACCCTGCTACGTAGCTGTACAATTATTTTGCAATGTTAGCTCATTACCATCTCGTGAAAATCTCTATTTATTTGTTTGTAATATGTACTAGAATAAATATTATGTCTGTCAGACCGAAAAAATATTTTCTTTAAAGCCGTCACACGCTGAAGAACGCAGTTGTGTGATGGCTTTAACTAGCTTTTTTTTAAATAGTTTATTCAGAAACAAAACGGAATTATAAAATTTGATTTTATTCATACATACACATACATACTTAGATACATTGTATACATAAAATATGCCTAAAAAGTTACGCGTGACAGTTGACTCGAGGCGACCGCAATGTGAGATTAAAGATTAGTAGTATAAGTAGGTTGTAGATTAGAGAGAACAATACCACCAATCTCGAAATTCAACAACTTAACTTGATATAACAAACACATTACTCGAGCCAAAGTGAGTGTTTATTTAGACTACAAACATCTTCGCGACAGATCTTTAAGTGGCGCCGTGACTTAATGGGGAAGTTTAAGCTTATAAAGTTATTCATTGGAATAAACATTTCAACCTGTATCTACAGGCACATCTGTGGTTAAATGGATTTTCCGCCATCGTCACATTTTGTAGGCGTCTTGGTGAATGCGGTACTAAAGGTCACCTTGCAGATGTTTGCCATCATCGATCTGAGCATTTTATGCAGTAACAGAGGTCAGATTTCCCTCTTAGTTTACTCTTATTATCTCATCACTTCGGGTTCAAGTCACACCATCAGGTGAACCGCATGCTCGTTTATCTCCTCTTCTATAAAAACAACACCCACACGTGCGATATAAAGTAATCCAAGAGAAGGAATTATGGATTCTTTTATACCGACGAATTACCACACGGCGGTGATATATTATTCTGCAGTAAATATAACTTCTAGCACGAACTTTAAGAATAGGACTGACAAACTGAAATTACGATTATCATTACGCGCTATTTTCAAGTCCCTAATATAAGAAAAAAACTAAATATTTAACAATATTTTTTTAATTTGTAAAATTTAAGTATGTTGTGACTCGATCTTGTTGTATTTTTCTTAAAATAAATACAATGCTAATCTTAAAATAGCGATGTCGTAGCCGTGCAATAAAAATCGACGTTTTAAAAGTGAAGTTAACAAAAACCTAAACCCTATTCTTGTCCTACGCGTAGGTATAGTGCAGAAACAAAAGCACTCAACCGTATCTACCTTTCCATTAGAGACGTGACAAAGATGATAATGCCCGGCCGATTTTGGTCACAGAAACAACTTTTCTATCAAACATTATCAGTTGCGCAAGTCATATTTATATATACTGTACAGGTACAAAGTATATTACGTGGTAGAGTCATGCTGCAGATATATTAATAGTATAGTTGTAGCACGAATGGGTCGGCTCGATCGGGGAAGGACCACGCTCTCACAGAATACCAGCGTAAAATAGCAGCTTAATGCTGCAGCGTTTCGTATGGTGAGTGTAGAGAACCGGAGACCTATTTTACTGGAAAAAAGGCATTCTATCTTAGTCCTCACGGCTGACAGCGCATCTGCATTTTGACTCGCAATCTAAGATAGATGAAGATGTCTATGGGCCACAGCAACTACTTACCATCAGGTGGACTGTGTGCTCGTTTATCACCCTATCCTATAAAAAAAGTTGTCACCGGCTAATTGCTCCTAAACAGAAAATGATATTCAAAAAGGAAAATAAAGTATCTATGTATACAAAAAATAAAATTTAAATGATCTAATATTTCTAAAATGTTAAGAATAAAAAGTATTGCTGGCTCCTCCCAGTCAAAGGTTATCACGATCCAAAGATAAAAGTAGAAAGTGCTTTCAATAAATATTTTTTGTATTTCATAAACAATTAAGAAATATTCTATTCTAAGAACAGATCGCTGCAATTTAGTTTTTCACCTTTTATAATATTTTTCTAATACAGTAAGCAAATTTAAAGCTCTAATATATAGCTATAAAATTATTTCGCAAACTCACTTACCGGAATCCGTGAATTGAGACACTATTATTTCTGATTACAGTTTATTAAAACTCCATTTCTGGTACGTGCCAACCTAACCTAGGATTTGTGTCACTGCGCAATTACTGCAATTAAGATCGACAGAGTTGATTCCATGCAGTCTTTTCGTTACAGCCTATGGTTTATCTAATTAGATACCATTATTATGTCATCCAATAAATCGGTTCTATTCTATTCTATTCTATTCTATTCTATCTATCTATCGAACCCAATTGGTTAAATATTCACTTTTATTTATAATATTATGGTTTCAACTATTCTGGGTATAGTTTACCTAGATGATTAGGTTCCATATATGCCTCGGAGTAACACAAAAGTAGGTAATGCAGTATCTGTGATACAGCTCAACATGGCATGCGATGAAATTAAGACAAAAATCTAACAAATTGTATATTGCAAAAAATCTCAGAATCTGTTTCGTTGTGACAATTTATTTAGTTAGCTTTTTCATTTTATTATAAAACAATTTCTTTTCATTCATAGGTGGAAGAAATCCTGCAGACATTAGGATTGTGGGAGCACAGAAACACCAGATCAGAATGCCTATCTGGAGGACAGTCCAAACGACTCTCAATCGCTTTAGAACTCGTCAATAACCCTCCTATCATGTTTCTGGATGAACCTACTACGTGAGTAAAATTGTTTAATATACTTTTAGTTTTCTTTGTACATAATCCATGATTGCTCATGGTACGTAGTACTGTTATTTATTCTGTGTTAAGCGTTAGCTGTATATTACATAGTACTTAAGCAACTTGAGTACAATCGCCGCCGGCACACCAAAATTGTTAAGTGTCGCAGGAAAACTTGCATGTCGACGAAATAAAATATTTTCGAGTACATTTGAACTCCAATGAGTAACGAGGAGTGCTAGTTACTCCGTAACCTTGACATGAATTGGAAGCCATGTGTAAGCAGTGACACGTACCTATTAGGACCGTAACTACTGCTTTTGTAGGTACATAAGGAAAACAAAGGTTTACATGTTTTCTGAACTTTAATTTAAGATAATTTTATAAAATGTTACACTAAGGATACTTTATTTTTTATTGAGTTATAACTTCTTTTGTAAAACGCATCTTATATTGTTTTCATGTATTAAATTAAAAGACTAATATAATTATATACCTTCATATTTAAGTGTAATAAATCGCATGGCATGTGATTTTCAGATTAATAATAATGCTTCAAATTACGTAATAAAGGCCTGTAAAGAATTCAATGGACGCAATTTTGTTCCAATTTGGGATGATTTGCTGCAATGACAACGCTTAACGATCCAATTTCGATCGTATCTCAAATTCTACTCCATGTAATAACACTAATGTAGCAAACTACCTAACAGTCTCGATTATTGTAAATGACTACTACAATTGGTTGTATTTAAAATACTCGACGAATACTACAGCTGCAGTACAACGAAATAAACACTCATGAAAATCTGCAACTAACTTGAAATAACTGCGCAACCTCAGAGCGATTAGAAATTGCTTAATGCTCAAGAGATGTATAGTGCTCCATCCATTACAGCCAATAAAAGTCAATTGCTGAATATAGTCCTTCCCCTTAGATTGATTTACAGGGGGACTTTTGCCATAGATGCCACGATTTGCAGACGTTATCGGGAATATGCTGCTGCCCACCTTCTGTTTCAGTTTCTTTCAGTCGCCACTTATGCTACCCATGAGAGGATATGGAGTAAAGGATATTCTCACACTGCCACTATACGATTAGGTTTTACACAGTTAGTACCTACATTTCACGGTTAATACTACACGGTTAAATAGTGCTCGTGTCGCTCTTAGGTTTAACATCGCAGCAGCTTAGGCTGTACTGAAATACAAGTATAATCAGAAAACAATCAAATCCGAAAACCAATAACTTATTATTTTCGCCTGAGTGCTAGCTCTAGCTGGGTTGTGCTAGATACTATGACCTCAACACTGTCGATAATTTCTTAACGATCACAAGCGTCAAGACGCCAGTGCCAGTGTCGCGGGACCAGCCCAATATCTACGCCAGAGACAAATTATGTGGCATGGCGTTAAGTCCGCCTATACATAATATTATATATAATTAATATTATACATAAATAGCGTTAAATTCAATTTTCAGATCTCACAAACTTCCAAACATTACTATTTACACAAAAGCTTCATAGACGTGTGAAAGCCTCTTAAGTTTATGTCAAACTAACAACTCGTAGTTTATGATATAATAGCGCACAATTTCGCCTTGCTCAGAACAAGAAAGTAGGACATCATCGCGATGTACATATCCCTTTATAATATAATCATTTGATTCGAATATGTTTACAACATTACGTACCGTGGTCCGTACAAACGTGGCCTATATTAACAAAATCAGTACACGGTATTCCTCTGAAATTACATACGATTACACGGGTGCAATAAAAAATACGTGCACAATTAGAAGTAATTGGCTTAATCACAAACCCGCTATAACATTTTATTGGTCATAAAGGTGAGCCGTGTTTGGAGAATTGAAACGTGCTTGCTGTTGCCCCTGCCCGATATTCAAAGTAGGCCGAACCTCCTGTATAAAACCCCTGTAAATAAATAATGAATATTTCATCAAGCTACATTTAGGTTAGGCTTTGCGACATCCCTTATCGTATTAAAGCGTGACCCACCCCCTTTCTTCGATCAATAGGAATTGTTTATTCACGTGTTTATACTTGGTATCCTACAATTAATTTTGCACGTTTTAATCTACACTAAGATCGAAATAATTAATGAATATTATTCTATAAAATCTAAACCAATTTTATAGAATTTAAATAAATAACATTATATAGAAGACAGTAGCCTTTTGTACGCGGTAGAGCCATGCTGTAGCTATATAATGGTTGTAGCACGATTGGGTCGGCTCGACCGCGGAAGGACCACGCTCTCACAGAATACTAGCGAATAGCAGCTCAATGTTTCAGTGTTTCGTATGGTGAGTGTAAAGAACCGGACACTCTTTTTACTGGAAATAAGGCATTCCATCTTAGCCCTCAAGGGTGGCAACGCATCTGCTTATTGATTCGTAATGGAGGATAGATGTAGATGTCAATGGATCACAGCATCCACTTACCATCAGGTGGACTATGTGCTTGTTTGTCACCCTTAAACTATTAATAAATCCCTACGCCATGAGACTTGAATTTGTAATTTTCCAATTAAACTTATTGGCAAGACTTGTATAGATTTTGTAGACTTTTATACCTTTTAAGAATTTCCACGAAGAGAATTTTATTTTTATTTAACCTCTTTCAAAGTTGTGCACAGTATAACATCTGCTTGATTTGCTTTATGTAAATAACCAACCATATAAAGAAGGTTTAAGTTAGTAAAGTGATAGAATTTATACGTCCCACTGCCGTACATCCTTTCATTTCTGAGAGAGTTATGGACTCCATCGCGTTGCTCCAATGCATGTTGGCAGACTTTCTTTATAAAATAATGATGACAAACGAGCACACAGTCCACCTGATGGTAAGTGGATGCTGTAATGCATAAACAAATCAGCTATATTTGTCTTCAATTAAAAATCAAAATGCAAATACGTTTGTCACCCCTGAGGACTGAAATCGAATGCCTCGTTTCCAGCAAAAGGGATCTCCGGTTCTCTACAGTCACCATAAGAAATACAGCAGCATTAAGCTGCTATTTTACGCCTGTATTCTGTGATAGCGTGATCCTACCCTGGTCGAGCCGACTCATTTGTGCTACAACCATAATATAACTGCTGCTGCTTCTATGTGTAACTTTCTCTACTCTAACTAACTCTACCACGTGGACTTCATACGTTCTAGAAATATCTCATTTCTTAAACATGTAGGTTTCCTAAATATATTTTCCTTCACCGCCGAGTACGTGGTAAATCAGCAATTTATAATGCAATTTACTATTTGATAATTTCATTGGTACCGGCGGAGATCTAACCCAGGTTACTCGTGTTCTATAAATTTTACAGCGAGCGCCTACTGTACACAGTCACATTTATATGATTTAGCTATTTCAATATTTAGGAATTCAACCCTAACTGTTCTTTTAGGTTTAAATTATTATATTTTTTATGCCATTTTCACGTTACTAATTGTTTTGCTTATTGTCTCTGGGATTCTGATCGTGATTTCTATTTATCTTTTTTTTTAATGAAATATTTAGTTAGGTACTAAGGTAGGTAGGTACAAAATCGCTGCAATCGTTTGTGTAGTGATGCTAAAAGACGCTACTTTCATAACCCTCACGAGCTGCGTTACTACCATAAAATACAATAATAATACATTCACAAGATACTATAAAAGCCTGGGGTTTTCTGAAATCTGTCAAAAAGTTGGAAAATATTCTGCTTGTGTAATAGGAAAATTAACTTAGATAGTCTCAAAGAATATTTTACCAGCCCTCCTGGCACACCTGGTAAGTACATAATATGTACTTACGCGAAAAATACACAGTAGTTAAACAATCAAAATGTTCATATATAACTTACGGAACAGTGAAATGGTTAAAATAAAAGTAAATAATATAAGGTGCACACTAAATCTGCTTCTCTTTGAACTATTCAATATCAGGCCTGCCGGAAGAAATTTTAATATGAAATGAGCAGTATCAACAGTGGTAGAGCCACGCGGCAGCTTTTGCTGTCGCACGGATAGGCCGGCTCGAACCGGGGTGGTACCACGACCTCACAGAATACCAGCGTGAAGTAGAGGTTTACCTCTGCGTTTCGTTTGGTGAGTGCAGGTGGCCGGAGGCCCTTTTTACTGTAAATGAGGCATTCCATCTTAGTCCTCACGGGTGACAACGCATCTGCATTTTGATTCGCAAACGAGGATAGATGTAGATGTCTATGGGCCGCAGCAACCACTTACCATCAGGTGGACTGCGTGCTCGTTTGTCACCCTTATCCTATAAAAAAAAATCTTTGTACAAAAATATCTTTTTTATTTTTACGTTGTATGTTGTATTTTCTATGTATTGTATGTTGTATTTTGGTTGAGCGCATATTGTTCTTTGTATTTAATTTCCTCAAAAGGTTTGAATTGCAAAAAAAATATTGGCATCGACTAACACAAATCAAGTAACAAAAGTCTTTTTCTTTCCATTAGCAAAATATCCACCTGACTGCCTCGTTGGTCTAGTGGTTGCAGTAGTGTGATTGCTGATCATGAGGTCCCGGGTTCGAATCCCGAGTTGGGCCAAAAAATTCAGTTATTAAGCTTTTTCATCACGAAATTCTCAGTAGCTGCCCGGAGTCAGAAAGGTGGCGGTGTCACAGCCCGTGCCTCGGAAAGCACGTAAAGCCGTTGGTCCTGCGCCTGATTTCTCTGCAGTCGTATCGGATTACCGTGCATAATAAATTATATACCGTGAGATGTGAACTTAAGTTAAATTTTAAATATTCATAATTTTTTACTATCGTGGACGCACATAATTACTTGTTCGCGCACAAAAACACGCGAATTCGGAACAGTCATATTTATTAGGTATTTTCATAAATGACTTACGTAGTGGCACGTATTATATTATAGTATATATATTATATACTATTAATATTTACCGTCCGTATAGAGAGTGCTCCTGTGCTTGCGCATTCACTTGGCCACTATAATCTGTCC